CATAGCTTTTCTTTTATTCCTTGAGATGACTATAATTCAAGATGAAGAATCTTAATCTTTGTGGGATTCCTTGATGGCAAAGAGATTTTATATTTTGTCTTGCACCAACACAGAACAGCAGTAGAGTATCTCACTAAGTGATGTTTCAAAAACAGATAGACAGACAGACAGACAGACAAATAAACAAACAGGTATCATTAAAAGAAAGAAATCTTTACATTCACTTTTCCAGAAACCATGCACAGTTATTAGTGCAAACTATTCTATACATGGGTGTCTTCCAATTTTGAAAAGCTGAGAAATGCACATGAGTTGACTTAGCAAGCATCAGAGAAAATGGAATTAGGTTTTAATTTCTAGACTTTCTATTCTGCCATGCCCAGCTGTGATATTTCCCCCATGTGAAATGCAATTAACTATTAGTAGTATTTTTATTGTAGTCTACCCAGTTATTCAAATTCACCAATGATTTTGGAGGCTATGTAAAATTCAGGTTCAGTTCATTTGACTACTGTGGCTGAGAACATGATGACTTTCACTTGTATGTATAGGTTTATGGTGTTTGATTAGTGTTTAAGAGCCATTTACCACACTCTATTTCATACCTATGTATTGTGCTTCTCTTATGATATTTGGTATTCAAATTTGCTGATAATATTTTTCCTGTACATGGTTTGTACCAAATACCCCTTGTTTTTCAGTATATGTAGCAAAGAGAATTCAAGAATAGTGGGGTGCCTGAGGTTAGTTACATCTAGGGATCCTGATGAGAACTCTGAGAGAGAGAGGGAGAGAGAGAGAGAGAGAGAGAGAGAGAGAGAGAGAGAGAGAGGAGAGAAGAAACCCCTTGGGTTTTGAAATTTTCATTTCTCATGGCTCAGTTCTCACTTGTTGTGGATGGAGCTCATTCTGTCTTCAGCTTGTTGGGCTAGCACTCCTATCTGATGCTCGACTAATCCACATTTTAAATAAGCAATTTGTGTTCTCATATTGGTAAATGTCAAAGGAAGAAACACCTACAGCATCCCAACATCCCCTGCCAAAGCTGTGAATGTGACACTGCATTCTTCTTCCCCAGAAGGAAAGCATAATTTCATTATCCATGAATCATCGCCTCTTAGACTGTACCATCCTTGTCAGAGAGCCTAATAGCACCACTGTTTAGCTGACTGCAAAGGAGGAAGGAGGGAGAAATCCCCGGGGGTAGGGGGTAAGCACAGGTCACTGACATGATCAACAAACTGGAGAGCAGTTCTCATGCCAAAGAGGAGGCCTCCCTCTCTGGATAGCCTGACACACATATCTACTGACCAGCAGTAATGGAGCCGGATTCTCTCAGTATCAATATGAGCATCTGTTTCCCCAGCCTAGGTCACACTGTTTCCCAACCCTGAGCATGAAAAATAATAACACTTTAAAAGGAAATATTATAGACTCTTTTGGCTAATATTGATGACTACAGATGGTTAAAGCATTTTCTATTTTTTATTGCATTACTGCTCGCTTTGTGTCTTTGGGCATTTATTTCTAGTTCTCAGTATCAGTTTATGGTTTTTCATTCTGTTATCACAGAGAACATAAGCATATTTAGCTTTGATAATATGGATAATAATAATACTTCACAGGGAAGCTAACACTAAGTATGATGCACAGAGCAGAGAAACCTATGCTGCCAATAAGTTCACAAAAGAAAAGAAAAGAAAAGAAAAAAAAGAAAAAAGCTACAAAAAAAAAAAAAGTTTGAACAGCTGTGGTTACTCGAATCAGCCACTAGAGGTCAGTGCTACTCTATAGAAATCAGCATTGCCAGCTTCTATTTAGGTAGTTGACTCACCAAACCAAGTTAAAAAAGAAAAAAAGAAAAGAAAAAAAAAAAAAAAAGGTTTGAAAATCTTTGGGAAGATGTCAACATCCCTGGAAGGTACAAAGTCATGTAAAATGAACATATCTTACGTAACATTGCTTAAAAGTCCCTGGCTCAGAGCATTGCCTCTGTGCTCTTTCCGCACCTTGTGTGGTGAGGTTAATAAACAAATGAAAAACAAACACAAAGCACAAGCATCCGGTTCAAAAGACCAAACTCCATTTGCGTGTCTGTCTTGAGGAAGCATTAAAGGTACTGAGACTCACTTGTGCATCCCTGGGTCTCCATGGAGCAGCTCAACAGTCAGGCCGCTCATGTCCATTATGTACCCTTAGAGGGAAATTGGACATAAACAGAAGAAATGAATAGCAAGGATTCTTCTCCACTATGAGGCTGAAGTACGTTTTAAAGACTTACGGAAATAGATCTATGGTATACAGTGTGGAAGTGGCACGGGGCAGACACAAGGACAACAACTTCTGACCAGCTTGCCAGCTGGTTTTCTCATGTGATGCCATGGTGAAGACACAACTCTCTAACCATAGGAGCCATAGACTGGTTCTCAGGGCATTGTGACAGCTGGAAAAGAGCCCTCCTCAGAGGAGAGAAGTGCGTTTAAAACTTTTTTCCTTGTAATTCCATGCCCTGAATCAAAATGGGTTTCGTTGTTTCTACGGCATTTCATTTGGCTTCTTATCTCTAAGTAAAGAGAGGCATCAAAAATGAACAGCCTTCAAAAATTTGCTCATTCATTTAATCTTACATCAGTTTTACACACCAAGTGGTTTTGAATTTAGAAATACTTTTCGGTACAACAAACATGTTTTGTATATCTTAGTGGCGTCACAGCATTAATAATTTGAAAAAAATATTAAAAAATATATATAGCGGTCAGTTTGCCTTGACTAGATGTATTTGTTTCCCATACATAAATAAGGCAGAGGGTCAAGTAAAAGAATAGAAGTGGGCTTTTTTTTTTCACTCCAACAGTGCATTTAATTAACACAGTCATCTTCATAGTACAGATAAAATTGATGCTGACCAAAGGGAAAAAATTAGATGGAATATGTATTTACTGACAGTTTAGAAAAATGTAAAAATTACAATTCCAGTGAAAACCATCTCTGTAAGTTTGGTCACCAAGCTCATGCTAGTATGAATGTATCTGCATTGTTAATCTACTGGGACTCTGTGGCTATTGGTCATTAATAAATGTATACTCAATGGTTAGTCATGGGTAAACATGGATTTGTAATGCTTTTCTGAGCTGGCACCTGGTCTCATCAAAGCACCTTGAGAAACCCACTTGAAATGCTGCTTTTCCTTATTGCTAATAGAAGTATGGTTTTAATAATCTGGATTCCTTGCTGCTATATTTCGTGACAACTCGACTAGATTCTCCCTCTCAGCCCACGGAAGAGAATCATACTCTATAATAATGCTAGTAAGAAGGAGCCATTCCCTTTGTCTTTGCTATTATTATTATTGTTGTTGTTGTTGTTGGTTATTATTTTTACTTGACAGCAGCTGTTTTGGAAGAATAGGGATGTGGTCAAAGCTGCAAGGCCTGGCCAGTCATAAGATGAACTGTCCCTAATGTGAAAATCATTGACGTCTGCTCCTACACTAAAACTGTTTATCTGAGAGAGAGGACAAAAGGGGGTGACAGAATAAATATATTTTTCCAAAACCTCATAAATACAGAGGGTGTGGTATTCGTGCTGCAGTCAATAGACTTTCACCAATGACATAAACACATGCATGCAGCTTGCAGGCTGCCAAGCCCGGGGTGGGGGTGGGGGTGGGGATTCTGTAGGACTGTACTGATGGGTGAGTTACAATACAGATGAACACAGGGACACAGTGATGTCAACAACAGCAAAGCAACGGCGAACTGTCACAGCCTCAGTCTTTTTTCCCTCCAGGGTTGATTTTATGCATGTATCAAGGCATTACCAGAAGCATCCTTTTCAGGGATGCTGTTGGAGAAGCATGCTCACACATCAGTCATTAGGGGTCTGGTGCGTGTAGAGCACATCCCAGGACACTACGGGACAGCCTCACAAACCCTGAACAGCACAGCACAGAGCTCAGAATGCTATTAGCTACAGGGGGGTCTTGGAAAAATAAGCTGCAAAGAGACACATCCTGGGAAGGTCCCAGCCACATGTGTGTGAGAAGGTGCTTTGCATCAGCAAGCCTTGCCTCTGAACTCCCTCATCTCCAGAGGACAGTCTGCTTCCTCCGATGTGCCTATCTAATGGTTTGGTTGTGTAACAAATCAGCATCTTTGGGGAAGAACACACAGCCTGGGGGAAATTGAAAGGAACCCTGTGATTTTAAAGGGATGGAGATGTAAGATAAGGCTGCAAGCCTCAAACTTTGTATTTTCACTGTCTCCTTGTATTTTGCAGTCATCTGCTTTAACCCTGAGCTCCCTGTGCTAGCCTTGTAATTTCCATATCCCTGGAAACTGCTCAGGGACCTGCTCTAACCCACCACCCTCTGTGGATAGTTTTCTGGGATTTTCTTTGAAAGGCAGGCATTGTTTCTCATTCTCAGTCTCTATAGTGTTCCATAATCAAGTCATCTCCTCAGATTCATTCAACCCTCCAAGGTCCCAGGATCCTCTCTCTCTCTCTCTCTCTCTCTCTCTCTCTCTCTCTCTCTTCCCTCGGATTTGGATTTGCCAATGAACTGTAAAACACCCAAAGCTGAATATTTGACCCTCCCAGGTGTAGAATAAGAGCAGGTGTGGGGAAATCATTCAGGAAAAGAAGTTTTTTGTTTTGTTTTTGTTTTCTGTTTTTGTTTTTTCGTGGAAACAAATGTGATGTTAATAAAATCCATAAAGGGTCTTATACAATAGGCATGGTGTTAAACCAGAGTTCCAGCTTCACATTGATTGTGGTATTTAAATTTCAATGGGTTGATTATTTATGGAAGGAAAATGACCAGTATTATGAACACACTCTCAGAGACAGGGAAGGCCCTTGCCAGCACAGTGAGGGGGAGGGGGAGGGGAGGGGCACCGCGTTCCCTTGACAGTCAGCAGAGTTCAATAAAGCACCACTTATTTTCCCAGCTTTTAAGAGCTCTCTGTTTTGTTTTGGTTTTAAATTGCAATGGTTCATACCTCACACTCCCTGGAGCCTGACTTGCTATAGGTGCAGGGTCCCGTTCCGTTCAGCAGCATCTCGCTGGTCTCCGTGTTGGTGGGTTTATAATCTACATAAAATTCCTGGGTGCCTGGAGTCATTTGCTTGAGCGATTGCCGTTTCTTCTTCCGGTGCCTTCTCATGAGGGAGCGCTGCTGCAGCTGCTTCATGCTGGCTGGGTACCGCTTCCAGGACACGTACATTACCAAGAGGATGACCAGCACCGACAGGAAAAGGGCTACGCTGCCAGCGATGATCTTATGGAAGGAGATGTGCTCCGTGTCCACATCTGTCTCTGGGCTGGGCTCGGTAGCTCCCACCGTGGGGGGCAGAGGAGGCTTGCTCTCGTGCTTCGGCCTGGGGAGCTTGGGTTTAAACGTGGGCTTGGGGAGCGCCCTGGCTAGGTCAAACCTCTCGGTGGTGCTTTTGCCACAGATGCTGTAGTTCTTCACCGCGTCGATCACGTTTACCCCCTGCAGCTCTTTGGGACTGGCGCAGATAATTGTATTCTCTCTCAGCCCTTTAAAACTTTTCAGCCAGTTTACCAGGGAACAGATATTCCTGCTGCATTCCCATATATTCCCGGCAAGACTGATGTCATTGAGAGAGATCCAAGAATCCAGAATCTCTTGACCAATAAATGTGAGCTTGTTGGAATCCAGGTTGAGGCGCTGCAGGTTGGGGACGCACTGGAAGACACTGGGTCCACTGAAGGCTTCGATCTCATTACCCGACAGGTCAAGCCTCTGTAAGGAACTCCAAGTCCAGGACATGGTTTGCCCTATGACACTGATTTTATTCCACTGCATGTACAAGTTCTGAAGGCTCACCAACCTTGGGAAAAGGGCTAGGTTGAGCTTGGAAAATTGATTGTGCTCCAGGTGAAGTTCTTTTAGTCTGATCATGCCAGCAAAGACATTCCTGGCTAAACTTCGGATCCTGTTATACCCCAGGTCCAGAAGTTCCAGGTTGCGACAGTCTTGGAAGATCCGCACGGGGATGGTTCTCAGGGAGTTGGAGCGGAGGTGTAAACTAAGCAGCTTCCTCAAGCCCCGGAACTGTTCAGATCCCAGAGAATGGAGCTGATTATAGGACAGATCCAAGTTCCGTAAATTGGTCACAGGTCTGAAGGTGTTGTTAAGAAAATAAGAGATTCTGTTGGAACTCAAAATCAACTCTTTGAGTCTGCGTATCCCATTGAAAGCATTCTCGTCAATATTGCTGATATGGTTATGGTCAAGGTAGAGCCAGGTGAGCTGATTGAGCCCTTTAAACTGATTATACTTAAGTTTTTGGAGGCTGTTGTAGCGAAGGGATAAACCCAAGCAACCGGCGGATATGCTTGAGGGGATCTCCTGCAGTTTCTGAGATTCACAGTATACCATTTTGCCCTCGCACCTACAACCCTTAGGGCATCCTCTTTCAGCAGAAGAGAGCATTGTCAGTAAGACAGTGGGGGCTAGAACCACCGCTACAGCTGATCCGCGCAGTAGCCTAATTACATTGAAACCTGGAAATAAAAACAACTTAGAAAAGTTATCCCCCCAAAAAGAATGCATTTTTAAAAATATTCAAGCAAAACTAGCCATCAATGTCCACATTCAGAAATGTAAACATTTAGAAAACATTTAACACCAAATATCATCTTTGCAATATAAGGCTACTGTACATTTCTAATAATTACACAAGGACTATGTCCACTGATTATCGAATTTATAGTCTTATACCAGAAAAAGATAATCTTTAAAACAATTAAAGCAGGATTATTACATAGACTTAGGAGATATTTTTTCATTTTTTTTTTAAGAAGGAAAGAAGGAAAATGACAAAACATACCCATCCTTTGTATTGTTCAAAGGCCGTCCTTAGGTCTTTTGCTTTGGCTTAGGGGCCGCCTGCATGACAGCCCCTGTCAGCTGCAGTGTAGTGAGTCAGGGCTCGCTGACACCCAGGAAGAAAAATTGGACCCCTTGGAAGATGGACCGATTTTGGAACATTATTCTTTACCAGCCATGCAGAACACTCCAAGAACAAATAAATCCCAACACCGCATTCACAGCAAAACATCCGAGTCTTCCTAGGTAATAGGATCTTCGTGGATATTGCGTTTTTGCATCTTTACAGTGTGTGTGTGTGTGTGTGTGTGTGTGTGTGTGTGTGTGTGAAAATTGCTTCTACAATTTCTTCTCAAAACCCATGATGTATTCCTCTAGGCAACGTGGGGCTACCTGTACCGCCACATCTGTATTCCATAGTCCGGAGGTCCCGTGGCGGTGAGCACCCAGTTCAGCCACCGAGCTGCGTTGGAGCCCAGGAGGCAGGAGAGCCCGGTTCCGCGCACACGCTCAGCTCACTCCTGCAGACTGTCATTCTGAAAGCGGCTCGGACTGTTGCTTCAGTTTCAGTGAATGCAGTCTTATGTAAAGCTGCCCCCAGTGGTGAGGAACACTATGGGCATGTGCAGAGCTGGCTCCCTTTTATCTTGCAAATGAGCAGGCTCTGCTGGAAAATGAATGATTCTTTTTGGGTGTCTCAATAGGAAGTGAATGGTCAACGTAATCAATAACTAGCCACGTTTTCTGTGATTTCCAAGTCTTGTTTTACAATTTGGCAACGCCTGTACTGTCGGCGTCTGCTGCTGAATCGCCAAACATGTGCTTCCCAGAGTTTTTTCTAGAGCTTGACGTTAAGTTCACGGATCGAATGTCAATTTTTCTTAACCTCGGTGTAGGCTTTGAGCTGAAATTTATAAAATGAATTATTGAGCTTTTCACAAAGCTGCATTAAGAGCATGCCTGTTTGACCTCTTGGAGTCACAGTGATTATATTATGCAAGGTGTCTCAGGACATTGGACTACATCGGCTTTACAATAGAGGGGATGACTAATGACACGCAAATTAATAGGTCTAATGGCTTTTCTGATTTTCCCACAAAAGATATAATTGGTTTAATGGCTTGTGACTGGGCTTGTTTTGGTTGCTGTGGGCTTTTTTTTTTTTTTTTTATTTAATCAGAAGGGAAATAAACCACTTTTAGTGCTGGTATTGGAACCAAAAGATCATTAATTCACAGTTTATTGATGTTGCTTCAATTTATTACACTAATAATATTTATTGAGTGCTAAGCCCTTTAAAAGAATAGGTCACCCTGTTTTATCATTCTTTCTTTCTTTTTAAATTCTCTTATTTTTTTTTTACAGATTTTTATTTAATTTTAAGTGCTTTGGTATTTTACCTGCATATATGTCTGTGTGAGTAACTGGAGTTACAGACAGTTGTGAGCTGCCATGTGGGTGCTGGGAATTGAACTTGGGTCCTTTGGAAGGGCAGCCAGTGTTGTTAAACTTGGAACCATGTCTCCAGCCCCCTGGTTTTTCTTTCAACAATAGCAGTGTTGCAGGTCCCACTGTAATCTACATTTCATAGGCGCAGGGCCTGGGATTAAAAAGGGATCACCAACTCAAGGCTCCAGAATAGAGGCAGGGAGAGATGGAGTTTACATGCAGGACCTAGTCTACCTTATGCTGCTTCACAGCCACCAGTTCCTTTCCAAAGGCATTGCTGTGCCCACTAAATCGGGTGAAAATGAGACAGACTAAGAGAAAGGAGGTGAAGCTCTGCAGAGTGCATTCCTGTTCTCTAGAGGAGGACCCTGTGAGCTTCCTTTGTCTGAGAGGAAGTAAGGGGGAAGCAACAGCTAGCCTCCTGATTAAGAACACTAATCCTTGCTAAATTTGCCAGCTGTATTGCCTTGAGTGGCTCTCTCACCTACTCTGTGCTTCCGTTTTCTCGCCTTCGAAATGGATGTGAGAGTAAAATTACTTCACAGGTGTATTTTGAATATTAAGCTGTATTTTTGTCTTTGATCGTGGTACTGGGGATTGAACTATCACCCCGGGCTGCAGCCTCACCCCTGTGTCATCTTGATTTCCAAAAGTGCTTAGCTCAGTTTGTAGCACACAAATCAAGCAAATATTATTTGTTATGTGTACTGACTGACTGCATTAACTGTCTGAAACTCACAAAGAACTACTTCAGTGAGTAGTTTTTTTTTATGTTATTCTCAGTGGGAAAAATTGTTGTGTCTTCATCATGCCCGTTTTCTACTTAAGATCAATGTTTTAGTTTTATGGACTATGTCTAATAGCTAACTGGTTGTTTCTCTGCCACCGAAGCAAAGCATAACACCTGATCTACAGATCTTGTCATTTTCTAAAAATAGGTATTGTTCTTTAAAATATTTGCTTCATTTATATCAGGTAAACTGGCAGCATCTCAATTAGGGGCCACTTTGATATTATCCAAGGTTGAACAGTTTGTTCAATGCTAATCATGATAATCGAAGGGGCTACAGCATCATAGATGTAGTGATTGCCTTGAACTTACTCATGTTGTAACTATATCTAAAACACTCAAACAACTTACAAAGGAAACATTTCCTTTTCCATTCTCCAAGATTCTGATTCAAGGGGATGGAAGAGGTTGTGCTTTTTTTTTTTTAATTGAGAATTTCATACATGCATACATTGCATTTTGATCAAATCTACCTCCTAATTCCTCCCCTAACCCTTTCCATCATTTTCAATTCAATTTCATATGCTCTTGTTCTTTGTCTTCTCTCTCCCACCTCTCTGTAAACCCACTGAGCCCACTTAATGCCTCCCATAAGTATTCGGGTATAAGATCATTTACTGAGGAATGGAAAAAGTAAGTTTTCTTAATGGGTGTGGGGCCACAGAGAGGGTATTTTTTTTTTGATGGACAAGTATGTTTTAGAAACTCACTAAAAAGAAATGACTAGTATCAAGTGCTCTCTCAGTAGGAGAGAGAATGGAGATGTCTGATACTGACTTGCAACCTCTAAGGGGTGACATTTTGTCTCTGTTATTTTAGTGCAACAGTGCTTGACACATTTTAGATCCATAATATACTTAGTCAGTAAATACAATAGCCATACTATAAGCTTTTATATAATATGTAGTCTTTTTATATTATGAAATTTGCTGAAATTTCTTATTGTTTTGGTAGTATGTATTAATAATACATAGCCTAATGATAATGTTTTTATGATGTATTGCAGTCGTATTTACCCTGTTACTCTGTCTTTGGAATCTAGTTTCTTGTTACCCTCTTTTTGTCATCAGTAGGCTCTGGCAAATATCTAACATCATGCATGTGGTCCTGAGGGGCTCTGAAAAGTCAGCCCCATTCCTAGGTCTGTTGGGGGAAATGGATAAAGACATCCATGACTTTCAAGACAAAGCCACACAATTGTACCCAGTCTGCCTACCGTTCCTCAGGGTCTAACACTAGATCCCAAGGAGCAACAATACAAAAGTGCTAGCAGGTTGGGAGGGAGGGTCTGAGTCTCTAGAAGGAAATATATATATATATATCCCTTACACTCTCCTTGTTGAGTCTAGAGATTCCCTCTATTAGTGAGGCTGGAAATATGTACTCTTAAATGATGTGTAGAAAAGGTGGGAGAAAATTAGGTGATGAGCAGGTCTTTCCTTTTCCTGGAGACATCTCTTGTCTTCATAGTTAAACCCTAAGTTTCACAGGAATAGTAAATATGCATTTAAATATTCAACTCAGCACAGTACAGAAGGATAACGCCGAGTCTTTATTATCTAACATCCCAAATGGGACTTCACAACTTGCATATCTCAAAAAAGCCTAAAGGGAATCATATTTATAGCTTCTTTCTCATTTCTCTGCATTGAAAGCCTCTGATTTTCCTGCTCACCCTTCTTCCTTCACATTGGGAAGTTGGTATGAAGACATTTTTCTTGGCTAACAGCTGCACGGGGCCATTCACTTGTCCATGTCCCTCATGCCCTTGTTACAGAAGCACAAAGGAGACCAGGGGAATAGAACCATCATGCTGCTTTTCATGGACAAATATATTTGGATTATTTATGTAATATCATTGTCTTGTATTACACATCTTGCTTTTAATTTTCAATCATTTTCTTTTTTGAATCTTGGCTTCCCTCTTGTCTTGCTCCATGGTTCTGATTCTGATTTTTTTTTTTTTTTTTTTTTGGTTTTTTGAGACAAGGTTTCTCTGTAGCTTTGGAGCCTGTCCTGGAACTCTCTCCATAGACCAGGTTGGCCTGGAACTCACGGAGATCCACCTGCCTCTGCCTCTCAATTTCTGGGATTAAAGGTGTGGGCTACCACAGCCTGGCTCATGGTTCTGAGCTTATGCTCCTTTCCTGGCTCTTAAAAATTGACATTTCCCCTTAATGCTGACCACCTGTCTATTTTTCATAGGTATTCTCACCATTCTTGCACTGAGGCATTCCGAGTGATCCCTTCTTTTGCATTAGCTCTTTAGTTTGCATCCCTATAGGTTTGTCCTAGTTCAAGGTGACAAAGGTTCTTGAAGAGGGAAAATTATCAATGAAGCTGGTTGAAAATTTCCAAAATGGAAAGAACAATTCGAAGCCATGTTATTCACTTAAGGCTGTGGAGATTATTCTAAAGATGCCAATTATTCTAAAGTAGCCATTCAAAAGGTTAAAAACATATTGTGTTAAGACAGTTTTACTAACTTTCTGGTATGGTTTTCAGAGTTTATCCTCTTTTACTTGTTGACTGCAGCCAGCTGATTGTTTCTGTCTTGCCTTTCAATACAGGCAAAATCCTGCCCTATTATGTGCTTAGCAGCTTCCTTTGCAATTGCCACCACAGAGAGAACTAACCATAAACTACCTGACAACTTAAATTTCCCCAATGCATCTCAGGCCTTATGATTATACAATTATAAAGCCTACTGTCATCTACATAAACACTATGTTATTGCATTTACATTAAGCTTGAATAGCTAAACAT